ATATATATATATATATATTATAAATTTTGAATTTTTCTCTAGTGTAGTACTGGAGTTGGAAAAGTATCTGTACTTACACTTGTACTTGTACTGAGTACGGTACTTGGTATCTGAACATCCCTAATCAATAGCATGCCAAGTATTCTAAGGAATGGTAAGCAACTATATTCAGGAAACTGTTGGAGAGGCAGAGCCAGCTGTGCCCGCCCCCTCCCCCGTCCCCTGGCGGATCGGAGCGGGGAGGGGGGAATCCAGCCCCTCCCCTGTCACGGCAGAGAGCAGTGACAGGATCGAGAGGTGAGCGAGCGCTGGTATGTGTTCGCTCACTTCCCGATCTACTGAGCCGACCTGTGACAGTCTCATTGTCACAGGTCGGCTAGAACTGAGGTGAGTGAAAAGCACCCCCCCTCATAGTTCTCCTTTAAGCGTCTTAAGGTGATTATAATCTTCATCAAAGAATGTCCAGTTGTTTAATAAAAAACTTGTGACTTTAATTGTATAGCATAAAGTCAACAGCATACAATGATATAGCAAAAATGAATATGCAAATCGATAATTCAAAAATATAGTTCAAAGTTAATGCAGAATTGTAGTGTACTCTGAATATTCACCACGCGGTTGGAAGTTAGCTAAGCCTGTGAAGAGTCTGCGTCAGGATTTCAAGACGAAAATTGTCTTCAAAACAGGTGTAAAAACAAAGTCTTCTTCTATGGGGTGTTCTTCTCTCCTCATGTAGAGTTCTCTTCTGTGTGTCATGTAATGTGATGTAATGCGCCCCCTTTCCCAGAGGTATTCTCTGCTTATATTCCTATTGTGACATTAGCTATTGGCTAATCTTATAAGGTCGTATACTTTGGAAGTCTATTCTCACCACACAATGACGTATGATCTTCTATACTTTCTCTATAAGGCTCGACTCAAAAAACTCTCAAGTCATGAACTTCTAAATGTCATACTACAAACCTATTTTAAAAGACAGACAGGCTTCTTTCGACATTCTTTAACAGCTGCTAACACTAAAGTTCTGTCAAATTTCAGATTTCAAGGACAAAGCAAAGGGATGTATGTCTATTCCAAGGCCATACATTCAAAAGCACGAGGCATCAGTTAAATATATGAGCCCATTCTTTCATTCCTCTTAAGCCAAATCAAATTTGAATCTAAGTATTTTTCACCAACCTTTTAATGTTCTATGAGGGCCTGAGTAGCAATCTAATTGGAGGACAGCCAGTGGACATAGTTTATCTGGATTTTGCTATTCGATACTGTACCCCATAAACATTTACTTTACAAACTCCGGTCTATCGGCATTGAGGAAATGGTGGATAAATGGAGAGAAAATTGGCTGGACGAATAGGTATAGCTCATTTTCTGCCTGGTCTAAGATTGTATGGTTGTATTGTGGTGTGTCCCAGGGCTCCATCTTATGGCCAATACTGTTTAACCCATTCATTCATGATATGTTGGTATTAATGATTCCATTTTTGGTGTTTCCTGATGATACCAAAATGTGCAGGGTAATAAACTCATCAAAGGACATTGCAAGGTTATAGGAAGCCCTTGATAAAGCAGGGGGGTGGGCAACTACATAGCAGATGATGTTCAAGCTAGAAAAATGTAAAGTCAAGCATCTGGGTGCTAAAAACATACCGGTCAGGGCCGGCCTTAGGGGTGTGCGAGCAGTGCGGTCGCACAGGGCGCCATGGCAACAAGGGCGCACGGTACATGCAAGCTACTCATTAGGGGTTGCTCCTCTGGGGAAATTGGAGGTGGAAAAAGACTTGGAAGTCCTTGTAGACCACAGACTAAGCAACGGCATGCAATGCCAGTCTGCAGCTAACAGAGCCAGCGGATTACTATGGTGCATAAAAAAGGGTATTTATTATAGAGACAAATCCATCATTCCACCGCTTTACAAAACACTGCTCTGGCCTCATCTTGACTATGGGGTTCAGGTTTTGGCACTGATCCACAGGAAGAATGTCCAAGAAACTTGAGAGGTGACAACTTGACAGTAACAGAATCTCTAATAAACAAAGTAACCTTTTGTTATGGAGTCTCTCTGCAGCATTCCAGGCCAGCAAGGGTGCCATTCCATTAAGGTAAGTGGTTTCCACACCCGGGTGACTTTTACATCCAAGATGGCGGCACCCAGCAGCAGTCTTAGGTCTTTAAGTTGTCTATAGAAGGAAGGATTGGACAGGTTAATAATATGCAGAAAAATAGGTGAAATTCACTTATATAATCTTATGGGAAGATTCTTGTTGAGGGTGAGTCACATAACACTTCCATTTATGGACTGACTAAAGTTCAGCTGTGAAGGCTTCATTCACCCATGAGTAAGTTTCTTCAGCGGGCTGAGCCGCATTGGAGGAAGTAGCAGTTTTTTCATTGCGATTTTATTTCCTTTTCTTTATGTTTGCTTATATCAATAGCATTCGCATTCTCCATATTAAAATATAGCCGACCAAATATGAATGTACGTTGTTCTTTGTTCAGGTAAAACAATACATAAAGGTCGTACGCATAAAGGTGATAACCGAGGTTAAGGCATCTTTTACTCACGTTACACTTATTTTCTTACAACGCCAAGGCAATTTCCTTGGGAGACAAAACTAAATAGCAATATCCATTAAAAGTAGTATTACGTGAAGTGCACGTAGAAAGCAATTAACTTGAAAAAGGGGGCAGGAGATCAGCAGTACTGAGATGAAACAAAGGATGAAAATAGTTGAAAACAGGTATTATATTAAAAAAATTACTGTTGGTGATACACAGAGCAAACTTTACATCGCCCAGTAAAGGTTTATACTCATGATATTAATATTTATATGGTGTAGTTAATATGTAATAAGTTTTACAATTGTCCTTCAATCCTTCTTCTATTAGAGTCAGATGTGGGCTGAAACATAACAAGGGAGGAACTTTGTGCTCAGTGCCAGTATATCTGCGGGACACCTCGGGAAACATTCATGGGCCAATGCAGGATTAGAGCCCGTGTCCTGTCTGCGTGGACCCTCAGTATCATTATTATGACTGGGGTAAGTGTGTGTGTGAGAGAGAGAGAGAACTGAATCCCCCCCGATGGTCTCCTTCTGTTATGCACATTTTTAATCAAACAAAGTTCAACAATTATCACAAATTGTCGGGTCCCGGTCCGTGGGCCATGTCGGGTCCCGGTCCGTGGGCCATGCCGGGTCCCGGTCTGTGGACCATGTCGGGTCCCGGTCCGTGGGCCATGTCGGGTCCCGGTCCGTGGGCCATGTCGGGTCCCGGTCCGTGGGCCATGGCGGGGCCCGGTCCGTGGGGCATATCGGGTCCCGATCCGGGCTCCAGTGCGGGGACGCACACAGAGAGGACGTCCCCCGTCGCATCCAGGCCGCGCAGGCGCAGTCGCCAGAAGACCTGGCGGGGTCACGCGGCGTGACGTCACTACGCGGATACGTCCCGGTGACGTCATCATGCCAGCGCATGCGCAATAACCCATCCCTGGGCTATATAAGGCAACTCAGATCCTTCATTCAGTGCTGAGTGATCTTCAGCCTGTGTGGATGTCTGTGCCTCGCTCTTGTCTCCTTGAAAACCCTGTGATGTGGCTTTGGTTCCTGATGACTCTTTGGATTATCCCTTGTACTGCCTTGCCCGCCTGTTATCGACCCGGCTTGTTTCCTGACAACTCTTTGGATTATCCCTTGTACTGCCTTGCCCGCCTGTTATCGACCCGGCTTGTTTCCTGACAACTCTTTGGATTATCCCTTGTACTGCCTTGCCCGCCTGTTATCGACCCGGCTTGTTTCCTGATGACTCTTTGCATTATCCTCGTTGTGTTTGATCCGGTCTGCCTCCCGACTTCCCATTTGGAGAGATTAACGACCAACTGCTCCATCCGGTCTCTACTCATCTGAGCAACCCAGGATCAGCACCCGGCACCCGTGCACCCCCTGCCTGCGCACACTGTTTAAACAAACCCCAGTGGTCACAGACGGGGTTGCAAGGGAGGTCCTCCTCGTCAAATCGGGCCCACACCACAACCCTAACACAAATGTGTACAAGGAGAAATTAATTGGTGGTTTCTTCCATTTCTCATGGACTCATTAATTAAAGTGGTATTCTCATTAAAGTGTATACCATTAGGAAGCAAAAGATCAAAGACTAAACCATGTGACTCTACTGGATTTATGTGGTGAGTTTTCCCGGTCTGTACACCTGCTGTGTCCATTATGAGGAGTTCCCACTATCCCTGTGCTGGGTTCCTGGGTCTGTACACCTGCTGTGCCCATTATGAGGGGCTCCCCCCATCCCTGTGCTGAGTCCCCGGGTCTGTACACCTGCTGTGCCCATTAAGAGCGGCTCCCACCATCCCTGTGCTGAGTACCTGGGTCTGTACACCTGCTGTGCCCATTATGAGGGAATCCCACCATCCCTGTGCTGAGTTTCCGAGTCTGTACACCCGCTGTGCCCATTACGATTTTTTTTATTTATTTCATATTTTGGAGAATGTAACAGGATGAGGTGAAACAACCAAAATTTCAGTTGTCCAGGAAATTTAGGCAGGTAGATCTTGCTGTTGAAAACTAATTTTTGTGTTGAAGAACCTTTGAACTCAGAGCTGGGAATTCTAGGAACAAAAAAAGAACTATAAGGATGTGCAGCATAGTAATAAAAATGATTAGAAGGGTAAAGACGAGAGGTGATAACGTGATAGGGAAGGGAGAGGAGATGGTGTAATGTCAAGGTCATAGCTGCCTGGTCTATCATATGGTTACAATGTGACAAGTTCCATATGGAAACAACAAAATGCACCCTGGTAATCAAAATCAATTGCTGATTGCCTGGAGCTCAGCGTCCCGCCAGAGTGTCCCACTCAGCTCTCTGGCAATCGATGACATCAGTGAGCTGGATGGAAAGCCAGGCAGGGTGTCATAGTTTGCTGAGAGCTCTTAGCAACCTGGGGTGCTGTGGCCACCCCCCTAATTATAGGAAAGTAATTATAGGGACAGCCCTAGGTTTAAGGGAGAGAGTTACACCATCTAGACCAGGGGTGCCCATGATTTTTTGTGTTGAGATCTACTTTTCAAATGATGAGCTACATGAGATCTACCAACAAAAAAAAAACTCCCTCGCTCTCTCTCCTCGCTGTCTCTCCTCTCTCACCTGGCTGTCTCTCCTCACTCTCCTGGCTGTCTCTCCTCACTCTCCTGGCTGTCTCTCCTTGCTCATCCTCCTGGCTGTCTCTTCTTGCTCATCCTCCTGGCTGTCTTTCCTCGATCTCTCTCTCCTGGCTGTCATTCCTCGTTTTCTCTCCTGGCTGTCTCTCTACGCTCTCTTGGCTGTCTCTCCTCTCTCTCTTTCCTGGCTGTCTCTCCTCTCTCTCCTGGCTGTCTCTCCCCACTCTCTCTCCTGGCTCACCTTGCTGTATTTTTCTGTGTAAACTAATATTCTTTGATGTAATACATAGCACTACAACCCCCAGTATACACCAGAAAGGTGTCAGGGAGCTCGGCTCAGCAGACTCAGGCTAATAGGTAATCATGTGTGCACAGCTAAATAAATATACCAAAATGGAATAAAGGGGCCGCCATTCCCCCCCTTCCTGATCTACCAGCATCAGCTTTGAGAGCTACTAGTAGATCACCGTCTACCTAATGGGCACCCCTGGTCTAGACCTTTCCATAATGAACCATTTCTGGCAAAGTGGCAGACTGAAGGTATTACCCATGGATTGCGGGTTATGGAATTGATAGATGAGGGGGAAAAAATTCAATTAGAAAAAATAGAAAAGGAGATCGCAGCTAGTGTTGAAAAAAAATGCAACAACTTTCTTAAAACTGGGGATGCAACGATACCGGTTCTTCGATATCGAGTATGATTACTGATATATATATTTTTGGGGTACTCGCACATACCGAAATACCGATACCGGCATCCCGAGGTTCTGTGGGCCCCAATTATCAGGGTTGAATTCATGTTCTCTTGCAACACTGCGAGGCAGCCTGGCTTTCTGACAATCAGGAAGCTGGGCGGCACGCCATGATCCACTGCCCAGCTTCCTGATTGGTCAGGAAGCTAGGCTGCCTAGCAACATGTGAAGCCGGCTTCCTAGCCAATCAGGGAGGCGGGTCATGACGTGCTGCCCAGCTTTTTAATTGGCCCTGAAGCCAGGCTGCCTGACAGTAAGTGAAGCCAGCTTCCTAGCTAATCAGGAAGCTGTGAGGCGGGTCATGGCGTGCTGCCCAGATTCTTAATTGGTCCGGAAGCCAAGCTGCCTAACAGCAAGTGAAGCCGGCTTCATGCTCCCTCACGGCACTACTGGCAAAAGGGAATCTCCCTTTGACAGGAAGTACCAGTATCGGGATAAGTATTGGAGCATTTGGGCGAGAATGAGTGCTTGCCCAACTACTCAGTATCGGCATCCGATACTAGAATTCGGTATCGGTGCATTCCCACAGAAAACACTGAGTTCATTAAGCAAGAGGCTCTACTCTGAAAGGAGGTTGAATGATTACCGAAGAATATTAGACAAACTAAACAAATCTAATATCAGCGAGATTCCAGTGCTTCGGCTAAAGGGGAGAATTTTTGGTTTATCAGAAAAGAGAGAGTGAAGACGGTCAAGGCGACGCAGAAGTAGACGACGAGGTGACTCGTGTGAATTTTCAGACTCTGATCACTCCAGGTTCCCAGTCTCTGGACAAACTGGGGTAGTTAGACCCAAGAACTCTTAGACCCAAGAACCCCCTCATAATGGGGACAAGGAAGAGCTGGTAATAGAGAAAATAGGAACAGCAATCTGAAGGTTCTCAAAGACTTACCAGAAGCAGTAGGAAAAAGAACTAAAACGTAGACTTTACGGCAGTCAGTGATAATAATGTGATTGAACTGAGTTGTACAGTTGGACGAACATCACATCTCATTGTTAAATAAAGGTTTGTTCTTCGCATTGGGAATGAGTTCACTGTTTACAAAGACATCTTTTTATTCCTGCGTCCAATGCTTCCGAGGAAGAGAGTAAAGTGCAGAAGGAAAGTGACGTATTTGTGGAATGTGAACCTACCAATGAGGATTTACAGGGGCTGGACAATCTTGAAGATGGGTCTGAGGAAGGCGGTATTGATAAAGTAGAGTACAAGGAACAAGTAGTGACTCTTTCAAGGTTCAAGGTTAAAGGAGAACTATGAGGTGAGTTCTTTTCACTCATCCTCATAGTTACATAGTCACATAGTATTTGGGGTTGAATAAAGACATACGTCCATCAAGTCCAACCCATATAGGTCCACGCATCATCTCATTCTTAGGGATACTGGTTATTACTGATATTACGGTCCCTCAAGAAATTGTCCAAACGTTTCTTGAACAAATCTACACTCATAGTTCTAGCCGACCTGTGACAATGAAACTGTCACAGGTCGGCTCAGTAGATCGAGAAGTGAGCGAACACATACCGGCGCTGCTCACTTCTCGATCTTGTCACGACAGAGAGCCGTGACAGCGGAGGGGCTATATTCCCCCCTCCCCGCTCCGATCCTCCAGCACTAACTGGCTGAACGGACGGGGGAGGGGGCGGGTACAGCTGGCTCTGCCTCTAGATAGGCAGAGCCAGCTGTCACTCACGCAGCTGGGCGGATCCAGACATAAATGTCGGGATCTGTTTCAGCTCTGGCGTCTCAGTATATAGGGAGCTGTACCTCGCGGTATACTGAGCTTAGGGTGACGGGAGGACGCAAGTTTGTGTCCTCCCATTACCCTTAGGAGAACTATGGGGAAAAGCCATAACCCCATAGTTCTCCTTTAAGTCAAAAACGTATCCACCTACAAGTCACAACAGACATGTTGAGATGCTTATGGAAGTGATAGAAAGAGAAGTGAAAGAGATAAACTGGTCTGATATGAAAGCTGACGCAGATAACTAGAGAGATAAGAAAAGCACTGGATGAACCTTTACCCCTTTGACTAAAAATCACATCACCACACAGCTCTGCGTGCCGATATGAAATCATCTGACATTCATTAGCTAAACAAGCATATTTTCATTTCACTTACAATTTATTTTTTTTCCACTTCCTGGTCCACTTTGGCACATATGCTGTCATCGTGCCCAAACCTTGCATCCTGGGAAGGTCACATCAGCAGAGCATTGCTGTGAAATCTAATCTGTAATCTCACGCTATCTCAGGGAAAGGCATTTTCCTCCCCTGAGATGATGTGCATGGGCACATGTCCTAGTCACATGTGCCAGAGTTCCAGGAAGTAAAGGGAGATGTATTATTCTGCCCTTAGTCAAAATGGCCGCTGTCAGAAGAACGGGGAAAGAAAAGGAAATCAAGGTATGCAAAGAATACAAAGCCGGCAATTATCTAGTAGTATCTGTTTGTAGATTGTCATTACTACACAGGGACACCTGATGTATAATATACACTGTACATGCCCAGCATGAAGTGCTTAAATGACTGACCACGTACACTGTACGTAATCAGTTATTTGAAGCTTTTAAAAGCCGGAGATCAGTGGTTACCGTTCATTAGTAGATGCCTCTATTGAGGCATCCATTAATAATGGAATTTAGCTTTTGTAAAAACTTAATTCATTCATCAATGAAAGAATTAAGCTTTTACAGATACCTAATCGCTGTCAGCGATCGGAAATCTGACAGTGACAACAGAGCCCTGTGAACCGCTCTGCTACATCAATGTTTTGACAGCTCTGTACAGATCCCTATGTGTACAATGATACAAAAGTTTCATCTTGCTATATAGTTCTAGAAATCTGTAGCAAAATGAAACATTTGTATCATTGTAATAAAAACATAAACACATTGTATCAGGCATCTGATGTTCTTAGATCAGGGGTGCCCATTAGGTAGATGGTGATCTAGCAGTAGCTCTCAAAGCTGATGCTGGTAGATCAGGAATGGCGGCCCCTTTATTCCATGTTGGTATATTTATTTAGCTGTGCGCACATGATTACCTATTAGCCCGAGTCTGCTGAGCTCCCCGACACCTTTCTGGTGGATACTGGGGGTTGTAGTGATATGTATTATATCAAAGAATATAAGTTTACACAGCCTGTTGCACTGCACTGTTTGCAAAATACAGCAAGGTGGGCCAGGAGAGAAAGCGGGGAGAGACAGCCAGGAAAGATAGAGAGGAGAGACAGCCAGGGGAGAGAGCAAGGAGAGACAGCCAGGGGAGAGAGCAAGGAGAGACAGCCAAGAGAGCGATGCGAGACAGCCAGGAGAGAAAATGAGGAATGACAGCCAGGAGAGAGAGAGAGAAGAGACAGCCAGGAGAGAGAGAGCGACGGAGGTTTTTTTTTATTGGTAGATCTCATGTAGCTGGTCATTTGAAAAGTAGATCTTAACACAAAAATTGTGGGCACCCCTGTCTTAGAACAATCAGAAGTATTTAGTGACATCTGAATCTGACATGCTGCAGATTCAGTCACTAAGGTTATTATTGGCTGCTCCTAAGTTTTAAGCAGCCTAATAATAACAAAAAATTAAGAAAAATAATAAAATTATCAAGTAGTCATAGTGGCTGCTTAATATAATAGACAAAAAAGTGAGGGGAAAAAGGTAAAGTATGAAAAAATAAAAGTGTAAAGAAATAAAAATAATAAAAAAAAATTATATATACAAATATATTAACCATCATCGAGCAGTGAGTGAGGGCAAGGGGGCGTCCCTATGAAGAAACTATTAATATTAGCAAATTGTAAATCTATTGTCTGCAGTGTGTGCTCTATATGTACTACATATATAATACAGTGCAGTAATAGATGTACAATTATCCTCTGCTAATATGAATGGATTAAATGATCCATCATACATAATAGTACATAACATGTAGTTGTATTACGGATCATTTAACCCATTCATGTTAGCAGGGGAGAATTGTAACTCTATTGCTGCAGTGTTCAAAGTACGTCGCTGTCACTACGTGTGACAGTTATTGACACTTAGTTACGGTGACATTGTAGGCCACCTAACCAAACCACTATTAGGTTTTAGAGGAAAAAAATTAAATGTTGGCTTTTTTGTTTTTAGGCAAAAAACAATAATAATCAAAACTGGGGAAATAGTGCTTTCTTTACGTTTTTTCCTCTTTTTCTAATATGTTATTAATCCTAAGTGACGCTTTAGGTACACATGTTTGATATAATTACTGGTATATAGCCTTATCTGTCCTCTAAAAAACAACATACACTGAATGACATTTATAAAATCCTCGGGATGCGATGTTTTTCCAAATAAAAAGGACAAATAAATGAATGTATTTATTGTATTTTTTTTAGCTGCGCTGTTTTTGTTAAAAGTACTACAAATCAAAACTGGGGAAAAAGTGTTTTCTTTAAGTTTTTTCCTCTTTTTTTTATATTTTATTAATCCTAAGTGAGGCGTTAGGTACACATATGTGATATAAATATATAGCCCTATCTGTAATGAGTGGGTGCACTTTGTAAGAAAGTATATTACTGACTTGGAAGAATCGCACAGCAAAAATGTAAAAAGTGCATTCAGTCAGTCAGGAACAGAAACTGAAAACAAGCTCAGTCATGAAGGGGTTAAAGACTACGCCTTCCTCAGAGGTTAAATAGTTCAGCAGCTTTAGTCTCGGATTATGACGTCTCATTCATCATTATAAACATCTTCAGATCAATAATTAGCTTCATCTTTACTTCTCTTTCAATGTTACAATAAAAACACTTCCTCTCCATCTGTAATACAGAACACACACTGACACGTCAGTGCCAGGTCTGACTCAAACCCCCGCCGCATTCCCAGACCCGGTGGGCACGCATTCTGACTTTACAGGTTAGTTTCGGGCTGCCTCATTATAGGGTCGGCCCTGGGAGGCAGACTCCCACATGCATGCTCTCATTAGATGGCACATACCCATACATAGAGGGTAAACCTTGCCTTGGCGCTCACTTACACCACTATGAAATGCTGAGAGCCGGTTAATGTCTTCATATCATCTTTGAACGAGAACTTCGGGATTTTATAAAACTTACTCCTGCAGTGGGGCCGCCACTGCCCAGCAAGGGTTAAGGGGTCATTTTGGTTTGAAGGAGAACTATGAGCTGGGTGATTTTCACTCATCCTCATAGTTCGAGCCGACGTGTGACAATGAAACTGTCACAGGTCGGCTCAGTAGATCGGGAAGTGAGGGAACACATACCTTCGCTCACTCACTTCTCGATCATGTCCCTGCAGAGAGCCTTGACTCTCATTCACGGCTCCCTGCAGGGATTCCCCCTTTCCCCGCTCCGATCCGCCAGCGCTGACTGGAGGAACGGACGGGGGAGGGGAGGGTACAGCTGGCTCTGCCTCTAGATAGGCAGAGCCAGCTGTCAATCACGCAGCTGGGTGGATCTCAACAGTAATGTCGGGATCCGTCTCGGCTGCGGCAGTCTCAGTATACCGCTAGCTGTGGCTCGCGGTATACTGAGCTTAGGGTGACGGGAGGATGCTAGTTTGTTTCCTCCCGTTACCCTTAAGAGAACTATGGGGAAAAACACTTACCCCGATAGTTCTCCTTTAAGGGAACGCAAATTAAGAAGATATTCTTACCTGATCCTCGGTCCCGCAGCACTCGGCACTCAACAGTCTTCTCTGCTCAAGCTGTGGAATGACCCTCGGTGTCCTCACGACTAATGCGAGTCAATGGACCTGCATTAGACGTAGTGACATCAGTGGTCCTTAGACCACCAGAACCCAGGGGGGAAGAGGTTGCGGGGACTGGTCTATCAGTCTGGGTGGGACAGAGGATCATGTGAGTAAATCTGCTTTATTTGACAAAACGAGCACTTATCCCTTGTAGTGCGGGGGTAGCCCTACTGCAAATCTTGAAGTTCCTCCTTAACTGCCTCCGGGCCGGCCGTAGTAGAAAAACGGCCGGCCCGGAGCTCTCTAGATCTGAGCGGGCGTCTCTAGACGTCCGCTCAGACACGCCCCCTCGGCGCGCGCGAGCGGGAAATTGCCGTTTTTTAAAAACAGGCAGCGATGCCTGATACCATACAAGCGATCCGAATACTATGAGCGCCGCAGCCGGGATGGATCCCGACATTACTGTCGAGATCCACCCAGCTGCGTGAGTGACAGCTGGCTCTGCCTATCTAGGGGCAGAGCCAGGGGTACCCGCCCCCTCCCCCGTCCGTTCCGTCAGTCAGCGGTTTCCCGGAATCCCGGTTTCTTTGTCACAGGTCGGCTCTAACTATGAGGATGAGTGGAAATCACTCGCCTCATAGTTCTCCTTAGGGTAACGGGAGGACACAAACCAGCGTCCTCCTGT